CTCAAACCCTGCCTGGTGCTGCCTCAGCCCCTGCCTTGAAATGCCAGCTGAGACTGCTCACGGCATCAATCCATCGCCATCTAGTTGCTGAGAAGGAAACTAGGAGGTGGAACCCCAACTGCCAGTCCTCTCCCCCAGGGTATCCCCAGGCTCCTCTGGAGCTCCCCAAGGTGCCATGGCACAGTGGTGCTTGCCTTCCACCTGTCCTGCAGGCAAATGACAGGCTTTGGTGATCAGGGCACCCAAATCTTTTGGGGAGAGGAGCTATTGAACAAACACTCCATCCTTAAAAATACCTTGTTTCACATGCTACAGTAAATCAATTTGCGTTGGGTTTGTCAGGAGGAGCAGCAGGGTAAGGAATCTAGATCTAAAATTAACCTCATAAAGCTTACAAACATCAGTGACTGACTGTGTCTGGGCCGGACAGGCTTCTTCTCTGATTGTAATTATGCAGGCAATCAGCTGTATGCATCAGACAGTATAAATTATTGCCCAATAGCAATAAGCTCATAAAAACCTCTAGAATACAATTTCTCTTATCCTGACCCTTGGCAATGCAAGAGCCTTTACATGAAAAAAACTGCTACATTACGTAGTAAATGTCCCCAATATCACAGCAGAAGATGTAAAAATTTTACTGCAATAGAACAGAGGGTTGAACTTTCTAAAACTGAGAAAATAAACCACAGATACTGAGGCAAGAAGCCAGGCATTGGGTGAGACAGTGAGAGAGGTAGCTAACTAGCTACACATTTATAATCTGAGTTTATTGCCTTAATATCTTCTGCTTGTGATGACTCTTGGGCCATGCTCTTCCCTGAGGATGGTTCTGAAGACCACCACGTTCTCAAGCTCCTTGGTAACTTCAGTCCTTTGCATTACTTATAAATAAACAGCTTTTTTTTATACTACATCTATGTCATTACACAGCCTAAAAGAAATGTATTTGTTGATATCATTATATTAACTACATAGTGAATAATCTAATAATGTACTAAGATGTAACGAGTGTGATATATATGTGTATATATATAAACATACAGATTAATTGAAATTCATAGGTCATATATATGTGTATATATGTATACATACAGATTAATTGAAATTCATAGGTAGAATAGAAGCAAAGAGCCCATGGTGAGTTATCTCAAGCCCAAGTGTGTGCTAACACCTTTCCTAAGGCTTTTGGAGGCTCTCAGCCTCTGGAGCACCCCAGGGCAATGCTGTTTGATGGCAGGGACTGTGCTGCAGAGAGGCACCAGCTGTCCCAACACTGGCTGGTGACATTTTTATGCTTGTGGCAGGATCTTGTCCACTTCCACTGGGGTCAGTGGCATTTGCTATGCTCCTGCTCACACAAATAAGGATTGGCAGGTTTGGGCTTGGGAACTGCTAAAGCTGTTTCGGATCATCTAACGAAACAAAACAGCAACAACAAACTAATAAGGAAACAATCCGGGAAGCATGTAGTGCTTTCATCCTCTGATTCTCTTCAGCATAATTCTGACAGTAATGTACTTCCTTACGTAGGTACCTTCAGCCCTGTTTCCATACAGATGCAAATGGATGGGTATTGTAGGGAATGGGATGTTTCCCTGCCTTTTCTCCACGTGCAGTTTTTATGCAATGTGACGTACAGCGCGGGATATTCCCACGCCTTTCTGCCCTGCCAGCTCCAGTCCCACAGCACCCCCAATGACACACTTGACATACTCACTCTGTGGCTCAAAGGATGGCACTCCTCTCCCAGGTTTCCCATCGGTGTGCACATCCTCAGGCTGCGGATCCAGAGACTGACAGCACAGCACATCCCACCTCCGCACTGCTGGTCCCGGTCACAGGCCTGGAGGTCAACACAGCATTAGGCAAATTGAGTGAATAATAAATACATTCCAGATATAGGACAGGGCAGGTGCTCAGAAGCTGCCTGTGACACCCCACGTCATTATGACATGTTAAGGCTGAGTAATAAGATGTAAGGCTGATTGGCAATACTCGTCTCTCCCATGGATCTGAACACACAGAGGCTCCTGGCGTGTTTTGGAGTGAGTCCAGGCTGTTTAAAGCCACAGATACTGGAGCTGCTTAAGGCCAAATCCAGGACTGTCAGTGATCTACAGCCCCAGTTTCTGAGCACTGATGGACAATGGCACATGCCATTCTGCTTTCCCAGCTTGATACTAGGGTGAGCTCAGGCACGAGCAAGGACCAACCACAGCAAACAGTCAGAAATCCTGTCTCATGGAGAAGCTAAGATAGGAAATCATCCATTAATTTAAAGACTTTTAAGTAATCATTAGGGGTTATAGAGAGGTGGGGGATGTCTCTTCTGCCATGCCTGCAGTGAGAGGACTAGAGGGAATGGCCATAAGCTGAGACAGGGGAGATTCAGAGCAGATACTAGGAAAAAAAATCACTGTTAGGCTAGTCAGACATTGGAATAGGTTGTCTAGGAGGTGGTGGAGTCACCATCCCTGGAAGTGTTTAAGAGGTCTCTGGATCTGGTGCTAGAAGATATAGTTTAGAGGTTACAGCGGTGACAGGTTAATGGTTGGACTTGATCTTAAAGGTCTCTTCCAACCTCGATGGCTCTGTGATTCCTTCTAATTTCTTATGGTATCATATGGTTGAGTGCCTGTGCAAGACTGCATGATAGTCTTGTTAGACAAATCCAAGTGGAAGTATCTAAACCAGAAGTTTAAATATGAATTCTGTTGTTGTTGCTATCTAGAATTACATGTAACTAAAAGAGGGTTTAAATGTGTAAAAGAAAAAAAGCTTTGCATAAGTTCCCACATCTAAAAAAATGCTATTGTGGTAACATTCCCCTTCATGGGAGGGAAAAAGTATTTCAGCCACTTACCCAATAAAGCTTAGATAAGCACAAACCAAAATGCAAACTAGTGGGTATATTTTAAAAACCACAAACCATGAAGAGCCATTGACACGTTAGGGTTTGAAAACAACTTACTGTACATCTTTCACCTACTTTTTAACCAAAAGCTTATCAGACTTTTTATCATATGAATTTAATGCAAAAAACCAGTTTCCTTTCTCCAGTGAGAAATGCCCTTAGTTAAAGGTTCTGATTAACGTAAGCTTAATTAACTCACTGCTCTTAGTGTCTGACAGCAGCAGTGCTAAACCAAAGGCACTGGTCAGCAGTATGTAAACAGGCAACTCAAAAACATACGTAAGAGCTGATAACAGCTCTGGGGAAGACGAAATATTAGAATAAACATTCTCTTGAGGGGAAAAAACTTGCAGACCTTACCTTGGGATTTCCATGATAAATGCCATTAGATTGTACTCTACTGTGTAAATATTGCACTGGTTCAACCAGCAGAAGCCAGATCAAAATACCTTTTTACAGATTAGCCAGTAGTTTAGGAAAAAGCTGTTGGAGTAGGATCAAGCTATGAAACTGTGTGTGTAACCCAAACAGCTCCTAAACACACAGCTCTATGCTACAGGTGAGCCCAAACACAGAGTATGTACTCACAAGACTAATATGGCCATAAAACTACCACTAAAGCCTGCCAGGGAGATAATGCTCACTTTCTGACCTCTCTGTTAATAAGTAAATAAATAAATGAGCACTCTAATGATCTACTTTTGCCCTAGTCACAAAAAAAAAAAAAAAAAAAAGTAGGTTCAGTGATTTTGCCTGCCCCTGGCACACTGATGTCCACTGTTCAGCTGGAGTAACAAAGCTCTGCTATTCCTCACCACTCAGCTCCTGATTCTCTTTTTTTCTGTTTTATATCTCAAACCCTATCCCTGTCTGTGGGTCTGGTCCTGGGGTGAAGCACCACTCAGTTGAAGAGGACACCTATGTCCAGCAAGGGTCTCATAGCCCATGCTGAACAATTTGTTTCTAGACCTCACACACACACATATTTAAGCCTGGCAGAACTTTTCAGGCTTCCTTTCCAAAATGCATGACAAGTTTCGAAAATATTCAACCCAAATGCTCCTGCCCACACCTTATCTGCAATGTGTAATTCACACTGCTGTGCCTAATCTTCCCTGGACACTGCACACCCCATTGAAACACAGCTTTGTGAAAAATCAGCTCAAGAATATGTCTCAGGTGAAATGCCAGCTGCAAAGACAACCAGAGTCAGCACAGGAACTACCACTGAAGTCTGGAAAGTTTGAATCAACTCCTGAAATTGCAAAGGAAAAGCACTTTTCAGGCTCAGAGGATGAGGATGGGAACAACTACACCAACACTTGTTTGATGAATGGGAAAATCTCAGAAGCCAAAAATGCATAAAAGTGACTTAAGCCGAAATCATTGCAACAGTTAATAAAGTAACATTTTCTAGTTCTAATTTTACTTCTTGAATCTGCTTTGTCCTTGATCTATTATTCAGTGCCACACAATTACTTGATTTAATGGATTAATTATGCTTTAAAGATGTAGCCACAACTCTAATAACAGATAAACTGCTCCTCCATTGCTGGGAATATTTCTACTTAAAAGAAACTTGAAGTGCTCAAATATTTAAAAATTCCTTCACATTCTCTGCTCTATAGAATAATCAGTCCTGGGAACTGATCTGACTTCCAGAGAAACACCCCATGAGCTGTTTCATGGACTTTAGTGGTCCGGATAGGGAGCCTGGACAGCCACGGAGAAATCCACTGCCATGAGTGCAACTTCTGATGGTTACAAAAGACATGTAAGCTCTCGAAGGAATGCAAGCACTGGGTTATTAATCCAAAGCAAACACTTAGAAAATCATTTTACTTAAGAGTGATGCAATGCTTTGGGTTAAATAACGTCTTGGGGAAAAAAAATATTTTCACAAACAAAGTAAATCTCGAGCCTAAAAACAATAACAAGAAGAGACTCGTTTGCAAGAGGTGGCTGTCAAGGGGAAAAAGCAGCACAGTCATACTCGGAGAAAG